ATCGGGGGGGGGAGGAGGAGGAGAGAAAATCTGATAACAAATATTTTTCCTTCCCTGCGGCTAAGGACTTCATGATCGTGTCTTTCAGCCTAGAACAAGATTGTGCAAAAAGGCTTGACATGAGACTTTGGTATTAGTCCCATTTCATGCAGGTGTGGACACACTTTCTCTGCTTTTTAAGTTCAAACACTTCCAATAATGTGATTTTCCCTGGATGAAGTGTGTCCTCATTTCTGCAGCACATTAATGGAACAAATGTCATCATCGTCTATACCATCATTTGAGGTTTTTTTTCCTTCTCTGGATGAGGACGTGTAAGTGTTTATTGATCCCTGGAGGCACGTAAACAAGTCTGACCTCACCCAGCGGATCCAAAGTGTGCGCTCTCAGCGGGAAACTCGCTTCAGTTTGATGTTTAACTCTTGAAATGTGCTGCAGCCGATTCCAACAGCTGTTTGCTTTCTGTGCGCAATTATAATCACAGATCTGCACCTTTAATAAACCGACTGACCGGAGCCACACACAAAAACACGTGTGTTAAGCGTTATAGCATGTGTGTGTGTGTGATTCTCTCTGTCTCTCTCCTGTTGCTCTGCAGGTCGGTGCTCTCTCTATCCTGCAGCTGGTGATCGAGATCACCTGAAGCCAACTTCCAATCAAAGGTCCTCAGCATAAAAAGCAGGAGAGAGGCGAGAGTATTGCACCCTCATTTAAAATTTCCAAAATAATAACAGTAGTTTTTTTTCTTAACAATACATCCATCAGAATATCACCCACATTTGTTTGTTTTATTTCTGACCTCTTACCCTATCACTTCACAACCTATCATCCAATTGAAGGAAGTTCTTTAGTCAAACATGATTGACATAAAATGTGATCAAATTTATTTTTTAACATGCTCCGATTTCAGAAGAAAAACGGAGTGTGAGATGACCTTAAACTTTCCTTTAAAACCCTCCTGAACCTGTCCTTCACTTTACTCGTATCACCTCATACTCTCATCCTGCTCTGTCTTCTTTTCTTCCACTTTATCTTTCATCTCTCTCTTTTTAAACTAATCCAAATAACCTTCTCTGGTTATTCAAGGTATTCACTCCCCACTTAGGAGACAATCACTTCAGATTCTAAAGCACACATTTCTACAAGTGTACCTTTATTTCACTCCAATTCTAACTTCCCACGACTCTCCGAGGTTTTCTGCTTTTCAGATTTGTCATTTCAGGTGTTTCACCCCCCCCCCGACCCCCCCCAGCTCTGTTTCCAAGATTTGTCAAACATTTCTTGTGTGTCACAAAGAAACCAGATCAGACCTCCGCGCTGGCAAACAGGCTCCTCTGTCGCACCCTTGATACCCAACGTGCACCGGTGTTGAAAGTGTTTTTTTTTTTTTCTTAAGGTAGCAAAACAGAACGAGAACATTTGTTTCTAAAGGTTTCAGAGATCAACCCGGCTGCTCCACATTCTGCAGCTGATCAGACGATCAGCAGCTCGGAGGAAAGTTTGAGAGACAAAAAGAGAAAGAAAACGAGTCTGAGAGAGAGTGAGGAGTTTGTGTGTGTGTGTGTGTGTGTGTGTGTGTGTGTGTGTGTGTGTGTGTGTGTGCGCAGCAGAGAGCGAGAGGTGATTACTTTGTGTTAATCTAGTATCAGCTTTCCACCACTTGGAGGCCTCCCAGTGTATTACTCATTATCTGCAGACGAGTCTGTTAAATACAGATTAGAAAAAGGGGGACGCGGATTCCTGAACTTTCTCATGAAACTCTCTTCACAGAAACAATCGTCCCTCCCCTGGGTTATCTCGTCTTTTCTCCCTGACGTCCCCCCCCCCCCCCCCTCCTTCATCTGCGTGTTTTTTCCTCTCTCTCTTATCCAGCTGTGATCCATATTTCAACTCTTTATCCAGCTTATTTAAATCAAGCTCTCCTTGTAATTCAAAAGAAGATGCTGGAAAAGAAAAGTCTCAAAAACTAATAAAAGCCTTTTTTTTATCTGTTCGAGTGTTCTTAGTTTCCACGGCTCATCATATACTTTTGATGACCGCACTGATTTGAACGGCGCAAGGCCACATATTTCCTCGTGAGTACTTTCTACTCTCAAGGAGAGAAATCAATAGGTAAATAGCGGCGTGCACACGAGTCCTGCTACAGTGAGTGAGCAGCGGCTGAGTGCTCCATTTGCAGGGTAGCGCCCTCGCAGATTGCAAATCCAATAAGGTCTTTGTAGCCACATGCTAACGTTGCATTTCAGAGAGCTGTTTATGCCACTTATCAATACTGGAGGAGAGATCAATTCAAGAGTGCGTCTCTGAAATGCATCAGCGCTGTTTAACAAACAGCAAGCTCTTAAAGGTAGAACATACTAAACATTAGCAGATATCAAATATATCAGAACTCAATATGACTTTCTATAAAGAGGGTGAAGTCAAACTCCATCTCGGTTTGTTGTGCTCAGCTCTGTGTCCACATGTCTGATGTGTCCTTGGGCAAGACACTTAACCTCAAGTTGGTCCCTCCGCTTCGTCTGTGTCCAGTTACATCCATTTACCGCACTTCCTTCAGCTTTTTTATGTGTCATGAGGCTCAAACATGTTTATTTTTTGCACCTTTCCAACTGTCAGCTCTACCACCATGTGGAGGAAGAGAGACGGCACCGCCCATTCAGGCACTACCGTTACAAGTAGTACTCACTGATGCGCCACAATGCAGTGTGTATTATGCGAACAAATGCAAGATCTGCAGTCTGCCAAAATTACCCTGATGTCGTACTGAATCTGGAAAAAACTTACAGTATGCATCAGACCAGTCTCCTTTGCGTACTGTTTCCCATAATGCAAAGCGCCAGGTCAGAGATCAGAAGACAGAAATCAACAGGAGAAATAATCCCAATCAGACCAAACCACACAAAGATACCACCAGTTATCTTTGTTGATTCTCAAAATCATGGAAATCTAAAATAATAACTTGTGAGCTTTTGTCAGACTGTGAAGTAGCAGGGTTTGCCGTCAGCTGGGCTGTTGTTTGCTTCCTCATTACAACACCAGAAACCAGCTTAACCAGGGGTGGCATGCTGTAGAATAACCACGACAGGCAGTCATACCAGCTACTACGCAGTAAAAGGCAGTATGCAGCACATAAGGCATGCTACATCGATAGTAGTATGTACAGTAGTCGGTGGTTTAGAAAAAAAGTCACTCTTTAAAGAGGCACAATGTTGGAGTGTCTAAATACTGCTGGTGCAATGTGGAGTGTGTTTTGCAAAACTTCTATAGCTCTGAGAATCTCACACAAAAGACGTCCTATCTCAAAGATGCTTTTAGCTGCAGTGCCTGTCAAGTAATCGAGTCCTTCAAGGAGACATCGGGCAGAGTAACTGCAGCCAGACAACAAGGATGCCGACCGGTTTCCAACATTTCTCGATGGTAAACTACATGTCCGTGTTTTGTGCAGAAAATAAAAACAGATGTGAATGTTAACAAGGAGATGAGTCGAACTCTGCAGCCAAATTCCTCCCAGAGCAACAACCTGCTTTCTCTCTCGCTCTCTCTCTCTTTATGAGGTTTGGTCTTAGAGCCCTGAAGGCAGAGCTGCCATTAAATCACCAAGACAGAGCAGAATATGCAAACGATCCAGAGAGTAAGTGCACTATCACAATAACCTAATGTTTTCCATGGATGCTCCTCTGCATTTATGCATGATTAAATGATACGCTTTCAATAACAGGAGTACAACCCAATGGCAGAATATCCACTTTGAACTGTTTGTATAATGTAAAAATTGAATAAATACGTGTTAAATAAAAGTAACTTTTCTGCCACAGAGAGATGCACTCTTCTTAAGTGTCAACACCACTTTCCTCCTCGCTCTCCTTCAGAGTCTTCTATTAGAGATCTGAAAGCATCGTTTCAATGAGATGTTTCACGAGGAGATTTCGGAGAAAGCCTTTGATGAAAGAGGAATACATTTATGAAAGGAAAAAAGGCAGATGACTGAAACGTAAGATGGTGTGAAGCTTGTGACTGTATGCAGCTTACAATGAAAACTGTATGGATGCAATGGTGGAACATCGCTACCAGCAGATATCGGCAGATAATGCAGATAATATGGCCGGTCTATAAGGGTATTCTCGGTCTGCTTCCACCTTACCAACGGAGCTACACACAAAAAATTACAGGAACGGGTACAGGTTATGTACATTTCTTGTATAAGTCTATTTTTAATTGCACAGGTTGAAGTTTGATTCATCTAGAGGTATTCTATGTCGGTTCTGCGTCGGTTTTGTGGTTAGTTTGTAACAAATGTTTCATGTCATGTACGTCTTTGTTACCTGCTACTGGATGCTTTGAATTTCCCTCGGGGTCAATTCAGTATCTATCTATCTATCTTGAAGTTACAACCTTCGCTCCCAGGATTTATACCTTTTAACTATCTCTGAAGCCCGTTCTCAATTGCCCCTGCCACTCAACTGAACAGGTAAAAAACAAAGGTAAAACCACGCCCCTGCAAATTACCAGAAATTGTATGAAATCCATTGAAGGAGTAAAACATAACACATGATCAACACAATCTGTATGATTTTCAATATCAGTGCATTTCTAGTGAAAACTGATTAAAATGAACATTTCTCCAAAGATGAGAGACACAGACGTACACACACATCTGGGATTTATAGATGAAGAGCGAGTAATCAGGTGTTTCTCAAATTGAAAAACACTGTTATCAGGGTGCTGTTGGAACAGTGGTTAGTGCATGTGCCCCATGTACGGAGGCTTTAGTCCTACAATGGCGGTCCAGGTTCAAATCCGACCTGATGCTCCTTCCCAGCATGTCATTCCCTCTCTCTCTCTCTCTGATTTCAGACTCTATCCACTCTCCTATCTCTCCAATAAAGGCAGAAAAAGCCCCAAAATAAATCTTAAAAAACACCAACTCTGTTATCCATCTGATGACCTTCATGAGGGTGAAATAGCCTGAGATAAAATCACACGACACACCGGACACTCACCGCGCTGAATCCTGGGAAGAGGCGGACGGCCGAAGCTGCGTCCAACGGAAACGGGAGAAACTGCTTCATGCCCAGTGAGGTCTGGACGGCGGGCAGGGTGGGACGCATCAGAGCGGGCAAGAGGCCATTCTGACACGTGTTACCTGTGGGAGGGGAGGGGACAAAAGGCAACATGTTGAGAATCTTTCAGTTTACATCCGTCTTGGTGTTTGTTTAGTCTGTGTCTCTCCGCAGTGTTATTCAGTCAGCCATTTAAATATTTAGCACCTGAGACACAAAAGAAGCCAAGCAGACATCCTTCACTTCAGGTCAAGTCACTTTCAATCGATGTCAGGAGTAAAAGAACTTGCTAATTCTATACCGTGTGTTGACTCGTCTAATGGGCACGGAAAGAAAATAAATCTTTTTGATAATTTGAACGATTAAACCGTGGAAGAACCTCCAACTTTATAAATTCTCTACTTAATTTTTTTTTACAAAATTATCTCCTCAACATTTATCGACAAGCTCTGTCTGAGATTTTAATTCTACAATTCACTTTGCAGAAAAAGCTCGAAAGATGAAATGAGTCTGTTGAAAGCTCTGTGTCAGCAGGCTTTGTGTCAGCAGGCTTGTAGACTGTGTGTAGAGCAGATTGCTTTGAGTGCCCCATTGTGTGTCCCATTAAGTGAATGCACACGGCCAGTTCATTCATCGCAACTTAACCAGGAATTCTTCCTTCCACATTTTCTGCATGAAGTCCGGGTAAGCTGTTGTGTGAGCAGGTAATATTCAGGAAAACTTGCGAAAGGGAGGAAGGGGGTGATGAAGTTTATGCATGTGCATACTGAAACTGCGTTGTGCAAAAAAAAAACTCCTAAAAAAGTCCTGAAGTTTTCAGGTTGAGCTGCATGTGTGAATGTAAAAAAGACACTTTTACACTCTAACCTGTGTTTCACCCGTCAGCCCCCTAGGATTATTTTTTTCCACAGAAAGGCCGAGTGAGGGGCTCAGATGGCCTAGCGGTTAGGTTACGCCCCATGTACGGAGGATACAGTCCTTCAGGTGGGCGGCCCAGGATCAAGTCCGAACTGTGGCTCCTTCTACCGCATGTCCTTCCTCACTCTCTCTCCCTGGTGACCTGCTCTATCTACTGTCCTATCCAATAAAGGCAAAAAGACCAAAAATAAATCTTTAAAAAAAGTTAAGTAAGAGTGAGCGGGCCTGAGAACAGAGCAGGAAATAATCAGGAGCGGGAGGGAGTGGTGACGTTTAGTCTCTGCGATTGGTGCAGGACCATAGACGGTCTGCACGCGACCCCTACGACCTCTGAGCACCATTAGTTAGATTGAATCCACCTGATTGCTGCTTATTTAAAGACTGCACTCACTCACTTTGTTTCCCTCTTTATTTGAACCCTTTTGAACTGAATGGAGGGAAATAAATCTAGAAAACCACAAATAAAGTGTCCTGGCTGGATTCATTCATCCGGACCCGATGCTCATGGTGATAGTTGCCCATGAAACTTTGAACCCTTCTTAACATAAACTTTAGACTTTACTGTCCCCTTGAGGAAACCCCGTTTTACAGCGTCGCTTCTGTCCAAAAGAGGATTCCCATTAAAAAACAGTACATAACACAAAACACAAACAATGTCAAACAACAATCAACAGTTTCCGCTCTCCACTCAAAATTCCCAAAGATTAAGAGCCTAGGACTGCTGTATTTGTTGTTTTGGTATCAAACATAGGTATTGATATGATTTGATTTCTACTTGTATCATTTCAAAGTTTAAAAATCCTGTATCATGACGGCACATTGCATCAGTCGTCGGTCTCCGTCTGTATGACCTGGCTCGTAGATCTTGTCTCTGACACACTGGGTGCAGTTTCTTAAATTCCTGAGTTTAATTTCTTCTCTTAATCACACTCAGACACAAACAATGCGCGCAGAGAGCCAGTTGTGGATGCCTTTGACCGTGATGCTGCAATGATGTTTATCTCTGCAAACAGATGTTCTCATTCTGAAACTGTCCCCGCAAACGGCCGATGTGGAATCACTGCAGCCGGTACAGAGCGTCTTGATGAGGTGATTCAACGGCAGCAGAGGTCTGGCCCACACATCTCCAGGAAAAACAGAAAGTAAATACTTCACTTATATTGTCATGTGAGTGCGCCACGCCAGCAGTGCAGCGTCAGAAAACCACCAATTGGAACCAGCGCGGGGACGATTTCAACACGGAGTGATCACACACACACACACACACACACACAAAAAAAAAACAGCGGAGAAAAACTGTCACAGCCTTCTAAAACATTAGGAATTAAAGAAGCCATTTTGCAAAGCTGTAATGAGAACCAGAAGGATGATTTCTTTTATTGCTGCATATTTTTACAACGGTGGAACTGCAGGCCAACGTGGCTCTAGAGCGCTGGCACATCCAGGATCAAACCACCGTCTTGGGACAAATAAAACAAAAGGTTTGCCACGTTTCTGTCCCCGGGCTGTGGTAAGGGGTAAATAAAAAGCAAAAAGTCATAAAGACAAGACGTAAAGAGGGGAAACCACAGACTGCCCCCCATCCCCCCCCCCCCGCCACTTTCTACCGCGCCATCCTCAGTCTTCTCCCTGCAGTCGCCGGAGCGCTGCCATCTGTTGGAAAAAGAACACATGCCGTCTCATGTGGAGACACGTCCCAGTCCCAACTTTAGCAAAGCATGTCCTTCTGCAAAGAGCATCCAACCGTGCCATCTCTCGACATGCAGGGCCTGACGTCAGCCTGCAGGCGCGCCGCACCTCGCGCCAAGTCAAATCCACCATTCACTGCCCGACGTGTAAAGTCAAAACAGCCACGCTCTCACTCACACACACACACACACACACAGCAGGGCTGATGTGTGGGCCTTATTCTGCAGCGAGATGAGGAGTGAAGACTTGAAATGTGATTTTCTTTGATAGGGTCGTGTTTGTTTTTTTGGTTTGGAGTGATGGGAGATGAGATCTGACGTGTCACTGCGGCTGAGGTCTGTGAGTTTTCTTTCTCCGTGGCATCACACAGAGATGAGTTCCAGCGCTGAGCAGAGAAAACACAATAAAGTCTCAAAGTTTTTTTCTACTGACACACTCCACTCCAAGAAGCTATGAGTGCAACATTCAAAACTTTACGTCTATAAAATGGTGAATGGGCTTGAGCTTGTTTAAATTGTGCTTAAAAGCAGTCTCCTGAATTTGTGAATATGGACTCTCTTTTTTTTTCTTACTCATGAAACGACCATGACCTTTTCACACGGGATTACACGACGGGTTCATGTAACGTGTTGAAATTACTGGGCAGCGAGGGGAAGGGGTTTGCCTTCAGGGTTTTTTCTGCTCTTGCATCCACAGACCGTCATGTTGTCTATGAGAGTCCTGCGTCGATCAGAATTAGAAACTTACACAACATTTCAGGTTGTTGAACGTGTGAAACAGTTTGACTTTCTTGTCGATGTATCACGTTCATTTTGATTAATTAATCACAGAAAAAAAGGAACTAATTTAAAAAGTAACACAGAGTGATTGCACTCTGATTAACGGTCCAGAGCAGCGTTTTTTGACTAAATACAAAAAAAAAGGGCAAAATATTTCTTGGGATTTTATAATTTATCCATCGGAGATGTTAACACAATCCGGGATCGAATAATAAGCATCCTGCCCTCAATCGCTCCTCCCATGCCTGTCCAGAGGCGCTGCTTGTCAATAGGCAAGGCAGGAAACTGCTTGGGGGGCCCAGGCCAGTAGGGAGCCCCCGAGGGCTGATAAACTGTAAACCACAGCAGTGGCTCAAAAAGGTGCAACGTTTACAACAACAGTAGGAAACCCCCCATCTGACAGCACTCACTCATATAATAGTAACTGATGCTCATCTAGCCCTAACTATCGGGAGAGACACTTTTATAACATAACTACCTCTAAAAAAATGTGATGGTGTCAGATTATTTATAACATAATAGGGACGATTGCTGTTTGTAGGGGCCCCCTGTAAAAACAAATTTCCAGTGGAGATTCTAGAGTCTGTTGGGGCCTAAGGCAAAAATCAGTTGATGGTCCCTCCAACCAGCGTTTAGCAGGGCAATGAAAGTGAATGCTGACAGATAGGGCCCCAGGAGGTTTCTGACTGTCATTGCAAAACTTTGCACATTATGGGTCGCTGTTTTAGTTCAAATTTTGTCAGCCCTTGGGGGCCCCCTATTGGTCTGGGGCCCTAAGCAGCGCCTCTGCTCGGGCCCCAACAGACTCCAGAATCGCCACTGTGCCTGTCTGCCTCTACCTAGAAACACACACACACAGAGACGTGCTGAGAAGCGTCCAACCTTTTCCCAGCCGGAGGACCACAGCCTCTGCACACAGGGCGCACGCACTAACCTCTAAGCCACCGGCGCCCCACTACGTACAAATTTAAACAAATGCGTACTCAGAGTAAATGCACTCGACGGTGTCTAATCTCTACTGGATTTAACCTTTTCCCCCTCAACATTCCTCCCTTTAAGCTCACATTATTCAGGCTCTATCTACTCAAATTGATTTTCTTTTGTCTCGTGTTGTGAAAGAGAACAAAACAATCTCAATCCAGCCAACATGCCTGAACACAAAGCACATTCCTGCCCGCAGCAGAGGTTAGTGTTTCAACTCCCTGAGGGCCGATCATCTGTCAACACCAGTAACAGAGCAAAATGTAAGACGGAGCAGAGGGGCTGCAGAAAGAGCTCATGGCTGCTCATCTGAACTCTAGACCTGTGAGCATCACAGTGACTTAAAGATGCTCAGGCTATAAGACAGAGAAACAGGCTGTTAGAGTCTTCTCTCGGAGAGCAGATGGCTTCTCTAATCATTGCTTTGTTTGGAGTGTCAATATTTGACTCCAGTTTGGATGAAAAAATAAAATATTTGAGTTCTGCCGATGGCCTCAAAACCTGACTCCTCGGGGCAGCGTGCAGGGCGGAGGTGAGCCGAGTCTCTCCAGCAGACCCTGTCATCTATTTTGCATGGAGAGTCGCTCCAAACTGAAAGGTCAGCAGGTGATAGTCATTAAAATACATTCAGAGAAGTCTGACTGAGTGACCTGAAAGTGAAACAGCAGAAATCCAAAGAAAAAAGACGATTTTCTTTTTTTTTTTACAGCTTAGTC